AGAATGGAAGTGAGAGTGAGCTTACACAATGAATGACTCACAAACACGAATATTAATGTTCATATTAACAATACTGGGATAATTAGCAATGATACTAGTACAAAATTATTTCAACTCAACTTTTAATGAGATGCGACGGAATGTATGCACTAGCAAACGGAGTCATGAATTTTTTTTCATTGCAAGCGTCTATTTAATCTTAATTTTGGATTTGCTACAAACTTATGATGCATCGAGGTAACCATGTCTAGCTGAAGCATGTCAGGCTACATAAGACTTCATTGATGGGGGTCCTATGGCCAAATTACCAAACGAAATTAAATAAACAGAAAATGTGACGGGTAAAATCCATAATTAACCCATTCTCGCGGCAGCGCCCTTGCAGGTATCTACCTATTGTGAAATCACGTGGTCGCCTGAGATATTACCCAGAACATGTAAGTGACTTAAGTGAGGGTGAGAAGAGTACGATTAATGAGCGAATAAGGATTCTAGCCTCTGTGAATGGACGTAAATACAGGTTCACACTGACTGGAATAAAAATTGCTGATCGAACGAATAACTTTGGTTTTTACTTTATGCCTACTATCTAATGTCGGCGCGTAGGTCTATTAGGCAATTCACACAACCCACGTTTATATTTGGCATCCCTGTGCACTATAATAAGAGAAAGATACATACGTTAAACTCAACTGATTAATATATATGAAAATCGTGTTACAAGCTACATCCTAGTGAAAATAAAATGTGTCACCATTGAGCAATGTAACATTTCTATGGTTATCCCTATGCTGTCAATGACAAGCAAAGCTATGGGAAAAGTGTGTCATCCCATAGCTATCTCCACGTGTGCGACTGTGAGGTCAGGTCAGGGCAAAGAAGTGAACTATAAATGAGAGTAGAAATAGATGTGATATCCGTGATAAAGATAAACAAACCAGTAAAAGAGTAAAACGAACTGAAAGAGTTGAAACGAGTGAATATCTAACAATCAGTCAACTAAACTCATACAAGAAGAGAATGAAGTACATAAAATTTCTTAAAATAACCATGTGAAATAACAAGGATTAATTTGAGAAGGAATCATGAACGCATTGAATACGCTGTAGTTTATCATCATCATTGGGGGCTACCGCCACTGGGGGAGCGTGGCCACATTCATCCTTCGCTCCCTCATGGCGAACCTCCAGGCAGACCCATCCCTAGCTCCTCGTGACAGGTCTGGTCGAGCTGCCCAAGCCATGACCTCCTAGTTCGTCCCATGGGCCTCCTCCACTCGGGATTGTCAGGTAAAGAGACAACCTGATGGTCATCCGCAGGGATGACCTAGGTGCCTGTATAGCCTGAGTTGGGTGTCCCAGATTGCACAAGTCCCATGCTGGTTTCATAATGTAGCTGTCAGTCGGATACATGGTCCTGCCATCTGTACCCAATGATCTGGTGTAGGGACTTCTTACAAAAGGCATCAAGATAGACTCCAAGGGACTAGATAGCATCCAGGTTTTGCTTTCATAGAGCAAGACAGACAGTTCCGCATCTCCAGATGCTCTTATTGACCAAGTTTATGGTGGCTCCTGCTTCTTGATCAATCCATTCACTGTCTTAATGGTCTGACAGCCCGGAGACATGGACTAAGCTGTGACTTCCTCACCACAAGCATATGACTGAATAGGTTCCCCTGACAGACCTCCAAAATCCTGGATCTTGGTCTTCGTCCACGAGACCTCTAGGACTAAGGGCTTTGCCTCATTACTAAATGCATCAGGAGCTGCCACCAGTGATTCCAGAGACACAGATAGGATAGCAACATTGTTAGCAAAGTCGAGGTTTGTGACCTTCCTATTGCCCAGTGTTGCTCCACGGTGACTTTAGATAGGAGCTCTGCTCATTGTCTTCTTCATGCATACCTCACTCCTGAGTGAACAGAGAAGAAGCTCAATACGCCTCAACCACTTTACATCATTTTCAGTACCAGTATATAGGCTTGCTGTTAAACCAATAATCCGTCTCTCAGGATTTCCTGTAACAATTCTTAGTGCAAACACCTCCTTAAAGTCAATGTAGCCTGCGAGCAGCCCACAACCAAACTCACGATGGCATTCCACAATGACTTGAAGCACTAGGATATGGTCTATTGTGGTCTTGCCATGAGTGAATACAAACTGCTTCGGTCCCTGTGCCTTAGTAGGTGGTCATGGATCTATTTCAGAAGAACGTGGGCGAAAGCCTTGCCTAGTATACTGTAGTTGCTACAATTCATCGATCCCCTTTCCCCTTCCAGAAAGGGACGACCACGCCCCTCAACAGTTCAGGGGAAATGGTACCAGACTGCCAGATGGCAGTCAAAATCGTATGCAGTACCAGCCTTTAGCAGTTCAGCAAGAATACCGCATATACCTGCAGCTTTCCTATCCTTCAGCCTAGAGATCAACTCCTTAATCTCAGTTAAGTTATGGTAGGAGGTCCTTCATTGATGGGTGGGTCCGGTACGGGCTTTGTGATATCACTTGTGTCTAGACTAACTGCTGGAGAGTCTATATGGTACAACTGCTCAAAATACTCAGCCCAGCATTTATGAACCGCAACATGAACTGAGATGATCAGTCCATCCACTGAGCAGACTGCAGTTATCTGCGATGGTCATTTACAAAGAAATGGCCTTCAACCTCCTGAGCAAGATTCCTGATGAACTGTTCCTTGTCTCTTCTCAGCAGTGTCCAATCCCTGTGCACCAAGGAACAGTGCAAATCCTGACTGCCATTCAGTCAAATCATGCGATACGCACTTGTGGCCTCCAGTCTCTCCAGTGAGACAAAATTCTTTCTTGTTCTCGTGCATTTGCCAATGGACTTTTACACTGCATCGACTGTTTTGGGCTTAAATAACCCGCACAGAAGTACTGGGCCAGTCAGATTGTCAAGCTCTGTGAACCGATCAATTTGTCCAAGTGCAACATCCTGGAGGGACCACTGAATAGGTGGGAGTTTTAAAGTAGACCCAATTTTAAAGCAGACCCAATTTGGTAAGCCCTACAGTTCTGGATGATCCTCCAGCAAGTGCTGACAAGAATGTCAGTCATCTCAATTCCCAGCCACTTCAGTTCCCTCGACAACAGGGATAATTGCTCACTCTGATGCAAGGACAATGTTCCAAGCTACTACCCGGATAGCCTGCCTGAGATTAAGCCTTTGGCAGGCAAGCACTTAACACAACCTAGGCTACCACACTATAGCTTCACATCACTCTGAGCATAAAGCATGAAACAATATAAATTATCTAAAAACAAACAAACAAAAAAAAAAAAAACGAAAGAAGTGAATTAATTGCCTAATGAACGATAATGCAATTTATGCTTATTGCCAGAGATGACAATACCGTCATCTTGCAGCAATGTTACCTCAAGTCAAAGTGAGACAATGAGAACACTTCTGTTACCTATCAGGAAAGTTCCTGCACTTAACACCTTAACCCAGCAAAACAAACATAAAAGTGACTACACACATATATCATACAGCTCAACACATTTATGGGAGAAGACGGTGGCTTTGGAGACATTTTGGTTTACTTATTGTGGAACATTGTGTCAAGCAGCTTTCAGAGATGTGTTTGTTTGTCTTGCAAGTCGAAAAGATGAAAAAAACAAACAAAAAAAACACCGCTGGCTCTAGATTGTAAGAGGCTGCTGGGTGTCTCCTATGTGGGACTGGCGGATAGCAATGATAGAATGGTATGGCTTGACTCTCTACTGATAAAAAAGTACAACACAAATAAATGAACACGTGATATGGTAACTGGGGAACAGTGCTACAGTGACGTAACCATTCTGAAAGGCGTCCCAGGACAGCCATAATAGTCATCTTGGTTCCTGTTGGCTTGGGTACGCACGCGGAACCCACGTGGAAGCCACATGAAGCTTAGCTTGGCTTGGGTTGGTATGGCTGCCATTTTAGGAGCTTATTGGCCCACCATACCACCTATTCTGTTTGACCCAACACCATCTTGACCCTTTCGTTATACACCCAGACCAGGATTTTCAAGCCTTCTGTCCACTCACCTACATCTGTTACGTAGCCTTGCCTGACCAGGATTGTCAAGACTTCAGCTCACATGTTACGTAATCCTGTCTATGTTCTGCTGTGGTGATTGTTTCTTATATATCTTATATTCTCTCAGTTGTGTTGTATTGGTTTTATGTTATGATATTTGGAAGTATGATAAATTATAATTAACTTGGTAATTTCGTTTGGATTTCTTTCATTTTTGTCTATGATAATTTAGATGAAACCGTTTGATGAATTCAGACCTGAAAACTCATATCTGATTCAATCACATTAATTCGAAATATACATGTTATCACCTTATTTTCCTGATGTTGATCAGCTTGCTAATGCAATGGGGAAAAATTATATTATATTTATTTACCACTATTAATATGTAATTTAATAAACCTGTTAGTCAACTAATCTTATGCTTATAACTTCCGTTTATTAAGTTGAATTTCGTATGTCCAAGTAAAAATTTAGAGAGTGACTGAGTGAGAGAGAGAGAGAGAGAGAGAGAGAGAGAGAGAGAGAGAGAGAGAGAGAGAGAGAGAGAGAGAGAGAGAGAGAAAGAGGGAGAAAGAGAAAGAGGGAGAAAGAGGGAGAAAGAGAGAGAGAGAGAGAGAGAAAGAGAGAGAGAGAAAGAGAGAGAGATATAGAGATAGAGAGAGAGAGAGCTAGAGAGATAGAGATATAGATAGATAGATAGATAGATAGATAGAGAGAGAGAGAGGGAGAAAGAGGAGAAAGAGGGAGAAAGAGAGAGAGAGAAAGAGAGAGAGAGAGAGAGAGAGAGAGAGAGAGAGAGAGAGAGAGAGAGAGAGAAGAGAAGAGGGGAAGAAGGAGAAAGAGAGAGAGAAAGAGAGAGAGAGAAAAAGAGATAGATAGAGAGATAGAGAGAGAGAGATAGAGAGAGAATGAGAGAGAACTGGTTGGGTTGCTATGTAAAAATACACGTAATATAATAGAAATGTTTATTACATTTCATATACAAAATGATTCAGAATATCATTTTTTTACAATATGAAGAAATATTGTGACTGGGAGAAGGCTCATGAACATACTGACTAGTGAAACACTGTGAGAGTAATGAGTATTGTGAATGATAAGAGTATATATTAGTTCTAAAGAATTCTAATGAAAGACCTAGGCAAAGGTGGGTTTATCTTACGCCGTCCAATGATGAATACATATGATATACAGTCAGCTTCCTCAACCTCAAGAAATTAGCAGAACTAGTCTCTTTTAATAGTCTTGAAGTTGGGCAATTGTTATATGATGATTTAGTAGTTGTATGAAAGAAAATTGAAAACCAAAAAAAAAAGGAACACACATCTGTACAAAGTCAGTCTCTCTCTCTCTCTCTCTCTCACACACACACACACACACTCTCTCTCTCTCTCTCTCTCTCTTATAATGCTAAATACAATTTTGTTGCCATGGTTTCTCTCATCCACTCTTTTGATTACAGGCAAAATATGTCCATAGTATTGCTACTATATGTTTAGTTCAAACAAATACATAACTACATACTTAGGGTACACTTCAAATACCTATGATATACGTGTGATATTCGCTAGGAATAATATAATACACTTATACATAGAGATTGCACGTCTAGTTATTTAAAACATCACTCAGTCTTTCACTACATTTCCACGATAAATTCTTCTGTTACTTAGGCACACGAAATGAATTCAAAATAAACCAAGTCTTATAAAATGGGTACTGAGTGGCAACAGAAGCTTGAAATATAAAAGAGGAACTTCCATATCAGTTAGGTCTGTATCAGACATGTGAATGATTTACATCCAGTGTGGCACCCCAAGTTCACAGCCATTCAAGATAAATTTACATTAGGTATAAAGTTGTATTTACACTGGTGTCGATGTATTTACAATAAAATGTTTTCACTCTTGGGTAAGGTCCGTTCACTGACAACAGGATAGCAATACATGCAGGTGGGATCATTCCAACACAATTAGTCCACGTAAAACAAACACTGTCATTACTGTATCGTACGCATGTTACTGTACAGCATTTTTATCGAGTCACTTTTAAATTTTCAGTCTATCGATGAGATTCGGACTTCTTGGTCTTCCCTTTTCTTCCTCGGGCCTAAGAGTGGCTGATCCCTTGGTCTTGGAGTCAGCAAGGCGTTTTGAGACTTTCTTCAAGAAGGAGGTAGCGTTCTTGTCCCAGGTTCTATAGTGAAGGGCTGTTAGCGATTTGTATTCTGTTGGGAGAAGTGATACAGTAAACACTTTGTAGATAATGATGTATATATAAATACAGAATTGGTATCTAATTACTAATATGTACTGAAATACCCAATACCTTGCATTATCTATTCCTACTATGCTTCATCAGTGTCTAAAAGTCAAACAGATTAGTGATATAACACGAAGAAATAATGATAAACACTACTCAGTTTAAATTCAACAGACGAAGAAGTACCGATAAACTAATCAATCAGAATCACACAAACTAGTGATCCAACACGAAGGAACACTAGTGAGCACTGCTTTACCATTATCGAGTCCAGGAGTAGTCATCTTGAGGTAGGTGTTGGGTACTGTGTGGACTTCCGACGAGTCAACACACGGGAGGTCGGCCAAGGGTACCAGAGCCTCTCCTATGAACGTGTTGGAGCGGCCGAGGTTGTAGTCCTTCAGGGTAAACAGGAGGAGGCCGGCGCGTACTCCATCGTCCTCTCTATTTACGTCACTGAAACGGGGAAAGAATTGAACGTGAATCTTTGGATATTTTAGTTACGCCGATTTTCATTTTCCCTGAGATTGAAATAAATGATGAATGGCAATAATAAAAAACAACAACAAAACAAACTAAAGGCTAGAAGAGGTAAATATAGCAATAATAAACGAAGGGTGTAAATCAACTCAATGACGGTTAAAACAAGAAAAATATATATATACAACAATCCACGAAGAAAATCAGTAACACTACTACGATACTCACAACTCAAACGTTTCATCATAAACAGCAGGATCCTTCCTCTGTGTCTTGGTTTTGCGAATGGCAGCCGTCGGGAACCAGTCCTGAGGAACGAGCTGGACCTTCACGTAAGAATCGATGGCCTGGTGGGCGTGAGGACCCATGCGAGAGCTGATTATGCCCGTGTCACTCTCGATCACTATATCGTGCGCCATGATCACTTCCACTATCAACTTGCCTGGACGAGTAAACAGCATCTGGGGCAAAAAAGGGAAAGTAAATAAATATATGAAATAGAAAATTGTCAAACAAGGAGTAAAATGGGGAAAAAATCAAGGATCAAACCTATTATTCTTAATAAAAAAGTGGAGGAAAATATCTTGACGAATGGAAATCACCCGTCATATATTAATGACACTTTCCTGTTATACAATATAATATTTACCTTTGTGACGAGTTGTGCTTTTGTCGGAAGACTTGATTTCACCTGTTGTTCGTGACGCTCTTGATAATATTTCGATATCAGCGCCTCGGTAGACATCCTTAAACTATCCAGTAACTCCAAGAGAGAGGTGTATTCTAAAAAAAAAGAAAGAAATCTTGAAAACCTTGAAGATAAATCCTTATCAATATTA